GAGGGAGGGAGGGATGGAGGGAGAGAGACAGAGAAAGAGAGACAGAGAGAGAGAGACAGACAGACAGACAGACGGACAGAGAGACAGAGAGAGATGTCTGTGCACCTTGTATACAACAAAAAGTCAGCGGGGGTGACTGTGATGCTACTGTTGTGAAAGCGAAAAGGTGAAAGTAAACACACGCCTGCAGAAGTGAAAACAATACTAAATGTGCGGTTTAGCATTTCACTGGAAACGCAGACTAGTAACGCATGCGCAAAAGCCATGCTGACATTCTCTGTCTGTAAAGGCATAGTGCTTGTATTGTAACTCCTTCCGAGAAAGAGGAACAACACAGTACAGAGTCTGTAAAACATTGTTACTTTTATAAATATGCGAAGTGACTATTCAGACTCTTGAAAGTCCGAATGGAGAAAAATTATATTCGGACTCTGAATTGAGTTCAAGCATGACGTCTGTTCCGACTTATGACCCTTATTCCTAAATATTTCCAGCATTTACGAACATCTTTTCGATTATAATGATAACAGTCGAGACGTGAGCTTTATATCAGTTACTAGTCTATTAGATATCTATCTAAACTGGCCCTCGGTGCATCATTGGTATGAACAGAACTACAACTAAGTTGAGCTGACCTTGCCGGGGGCAAAGTTAATTATGTTGACCAATGAGACTGCGCATTGCGATCGATCTCTTACTTTTGGTTTGCCGGGGGAAGAGGCCACAGCTGTCGGTTTTGTGCGATGTGATAAAAGAAAAGAACATTACAGAAAAAACTATAACACACAATAAAATGAAATTAAACATGGAAAGACAATTGGTAGTGGAAGTAATGATGATGCTGTAGTGGTGGTGGAAAGACCCTGAATAGTCGCTTACGGTGTACTTTAACACTACCATTGGGTAGATCTAATCTAATGAGAGTGCAGTCTTTTGACACAATTACACAATCCTAGTAGTAGGCTACTTGTAGGCAATTCTAGTTCTAATTCTGGTTTTACGTGAAATTCCCCGATGACTGTTATATTAAGTGTAACCTCCTTACACTCACAAGACTCCCTTAGAAGCTGAGTCCGAAGAAATAAAACATTTTTTTTCGAACCCGAGTCCGAATAGATAAAAATTATTATTCTCGGACTTGAGTCCGAATAGAGCTGGCCTTACAAATGAGCGAATTTTACTTTTAAGACACTGCGAATTTCCCAAGTTTGAGAGTTGTCTGAGAAGAGGCTGTTTGGCATTTGCACACTGTTGTGCAATTGATAGCTGACCAGAGAAAATGCTCAAACCTCACTTTTGTTTATAAATTTTTTTAATCAATCTGACCTTGAGACTCACTGATCGGTAAAAATACAGAGCCTACCAATTACGAATGTTATAATAACAGCAGCAATTACAGGTAAGAACCATGAAATCAAATGACAAAACGTATCACTTCATCAAATCACTTCTTAAAAGTAGGCTGAAACTGAAACTGAAGTCACAGGGCAGACAAGATTCTAGTTCTAGTTCTACCTTCCCTGTTCTATTTCTTCAGTCTTCCGAGTTCACTTTCCTTGAGACAGTCTAAACTGAAAACAGATAATCAGTATGATAGTATCAGACCAATATCTTACTCTCAATTTCTTTCTTGAAGAGGAGGATCTGTGAAGCAGGAGACAGTTAGATATCACAGGCAAAAAGGGCTTCAGCCTCCGAACTGGAGGAGCCAGTAAAGAAACAGCTGACATGTTCTCGAAATTGTTGCGAATTGCGAATTGCGAATGCGAAAACACAAAACAACGAGATTACTTCCGGAACATCTGGCGAAGACTCCGCACAGCAGTTCAGGCTTGTGAGGAAAGTAACAAGTAACAAGAAAAGGCGATAGTAATACAATGACACATGTACACTATCTGGTCACAGCTTGCGAGCTGTGATGAAACATATTTGGACGGTTTCTTTCTTTCTTTTTTTTTCTTTCTTTCTTTTTTTCCTTTTTTTTCTAACATGCCATTCCACTCACAGTCACACATACTGGAAACGTTGAGTCTGATTCTTTAACGCTAACTTTTACGGCAAAAAGCAAAAAAAAAACCCTTCCCTCTTTCAGGATACGATTGATAAGCTTTTTTGTTTATCACCACAAAGGGAATTTGTTGTTGCAAGGTAAACAAAAACATAGGCTTTTCACACACACACACACACACACACACA